GCCATTTGAACGCTTCACCTTCCCCTGTGCCCATCAGCAATGGCCAATGCACGTAAGCGCGCATTTAATGAGGCATCCGTGGTGAAGGTGTGCCGCATGGAGGAGGGGGGGGGGGGCAAGCCAGGCAGCAAAATCTGTTTTTGCTGATTCCTCTCTAAGACCTAGTTATAGTTGCTTTTTAAAAATATGATAAAATTTTGCAAAATCACGCTGTTGTAAATGATCAACTCTGATAACTTCTGAACATTTGGGTGCAATTAACATCAGAACGAAGCCAAAATAGGATAGTAATGTAGAACCTCTGGATTGTAAGGTTGGTATATAAGGATTATTTTTGGTGTTCAATCGCAGCAGCAATGTGCGTGCCTTCTTACTTCACCTAGTGTGGTTCTGTTCTGTTTTATTATATTGCTATGTTGGACCCTGAGATGAATGCACCTTGTTGAAGTCACCATATGCTTACACTTCATTTCCACTATTCTCGAGGACAATAAAGCTTCTTGCCTTAGCTTAATGTTTGTCATCATCATCTTTTTGCAGTGGGCCATCGCATTATTTTGCTCTCGGAAAAAGAAGCCATCACAAAGCAGGTATGAGAGCCTTCCGCGGGAATTTAGCTCATCATTCATGTTTATTCTATCAATAAAGCCTCCTGATATTGACTGCCCATCTACTTTGTGGATAGGTATACATTTGGATTATCAAGTAACAATGTGGGTTTGCTCATACTCTTGGACAAGTGCCCCCGGATTCAGAAAACTCTCATGAGAAGAAAGTAAAGCCTGTCTGAAGAAGCTGCTGCTGCTGCTGCCTAATGTAAATAACATAGCCGTTGGTTGGGAAGTCTGCATCAAATCGCATTTTCTTATTCGGAGGTTGGGCGGAGATGGTGTTGTTTTAATTCTTTAGTTGTTGATTTCTCTTTGGCCCCAGGGCCGGATGGGGGATCCTTGTGCCATGATCCAGAAATCGTCAATGTGGGTTTTGGGGGGTTGCTTTTGCTTATATTTCTCACCAGCAAAGGCTATATGCTTGTATAGTGCGCGTGTGGACGTGCGGTGACTGCTGGTTGTTTTTGCTTGCTTTCAGATTGATGACTGATGAGTTGATATCAAGGAAATTAGCCGCACATTTGTGCAAACTGTATCTGATGTGTCTTTTTTTTGCTAGTACATAACTGTTGTGGTGGTTGATTTGGTGAATTTGCGATGTCACACAATTGCTGTCTATGCATGTGTGATGCTTTCATGTCATCTTGAGAGAAAAGCACGCTTTGGTGTTTTTTCGCTAGGAAAGCTTTGCTTCTGTTGAGGACCTCAGGCTCTGTGAGCATTTGCAGAGCAGAAATTTATACTGCATAGTTTGGTGTCATTTGGAACATTAGCAGAGCAGAATTTTGACTATTTTAGTGTGTAGTTTGGTGTCATTTTGAACATTTGAAACACCGCAGGCAATCTGTGACAAACTTCTTCAAAATCACAGATGGAAGTAGGAACATACTGTATCTGATGTGTCCTTTTTGCTACTCTAGTGTCAAAACCGTTCTTATATGATGGGAGGGAGGGAGTAGTACATAATCTGTTGGCGTGGTTGATTCGGCGAATTTTGTGTTGTCACACAACTGTTGTGTATACATGTGTGATGCTATAATGCCATCTTCGGAGAAAAGCACGCTTTGCTCCTGTTGAGGACCTCAGGCTCTATGAACATTTGCAGAGCAGAAATTCAACAGTGCATAGTTTGGTGTCGTTTCAAACATTTGAAACACCGCAAGCAAATCCGCGACAGACTTGTTTCAAAAACACAGATTGTAAGTAGGAACATGCCGAACAGAGAGAGACAGACACAGATGTATTGTATATCAACGCAGGCAAGCACTCAGCCAGCGGGAGATTGCGTCTAAATCAGCTGTTTTTTCGAAGGAATTCCGTGTTCAAATGCCAAATAGTACTAGACAGGTAGGATAAATAGCTAAGCTTTGGTAGAGTGATTGGTTGGAACTACTCGCGCAGTACAAACGGAAGAAACAAAGGAATTGGTTGGATGGGTCTCTTTCCAGGTCTGACCAGGTGGGCAGCAAGCAACATAAAGAAAGGAAAGGGAACATGCTTGCCCTGGAAGCCCTCCCTCCCCTCCCCGGTTATGTCAGTCTCTGCTATCTTTGGGTACATCTTCTTGCTTGGTTGGTAGAGTGATGATCAGTAGCAGAGTAGCAGTCAATGGATCAAATCTGCTAGCTTAGAGGAATGAATCTTGACGACTGGACCAATCACCAATGTAAGCAGAGAATGGCAATGGCGGGGTGGTTCAGATGCCCATCGACAGCATGGCCTGGGACTCCCAGTATTCTTTGGATTGCTTCACCATCTCCGTCCGCTCCTCGCGCAGCCTGCATCTCCAGTAATCTTTGCACCTGGCCAAGCAGTAGATGCAAATCAGACACACAAGAAGGTGGCGCCTTCTCCAGAAATCTTGCTGCGCAAGAGGGGCTGGTTAGGTCTCAGTACCTTGTTTTGATGAGCAAGTCGAGCTCGTTCATATGCACGGCATGGGCAAACACACCAACCTGAAGCATATAAAAGAAATTAGTCTGGACTGTCAGGCAGCAAGTTCATTCGTATTGGTCATAGGCTTGCTCGCATACCTCTCGGCATACAGGACACTTGGCCTCTGGAGGCGCGCTCCTAACGCCCTGGAAGATGTACACAGACGCAGCACCACATGCACAGCCTTTGCAGAAGAGGTGACCGCAGCTAAGCGCATATGGATTGAACAAGGTGTCCTGTGCAAACGGCAAAAATCTTCTACAATTTATGGATGCATAGGGCTACACAAAACAAGAACTTATATTGTAGCAATGACATTACAAGTGATGAACAAAGATGTACTGCTTGTTAATGCAAACTAGTAGGTCAGCAGTTGCCGTTTTCATACTTAGGAACAAGATCATTAAAGTATAAGGAGGTGAATAAATTTAAGAAAAACAAAATCTTACCAAGCAAATTGGACAAGTTAGACTGTAGTCATACTTGATAGTTTCAGAAATGGCCAATGTCATTACTGGCTGTGTTCCTGTCAAGTCACAGGAAAAATTCTTGAAGAACCCTGCTGGTTCATCAATATCTGAACTATCACAGTTCAGATGGAAAGCACCCAGCTCGATCAGCCAAGGTGACTGCAACAGTTCAGTGTGCTCGGTTTGCATCTTGCTCTTGAAATCTCTACCGCTAACAGAGCCATGCACCTGCAAAATCAACAACATTATTAGCAGGAAGACCCTGAAGATGCACAATGACAGTTGAGAGATGAACAGATTACTTTGTCGTATTTCTTGAGAATTTTGCGAATAGCAATAGCATTCATGGTCACATAATTGACTAGCAGCCTGCCTTCTTGAACCATGATTTGTTGATCATCTATGAAGCATTGGCGTACGCGCCATATATACCGTTGCAATCCAGAAGGAACATGAAGGTTTAGAAGATGCTGTACTCTAGAGCTGAAATAGCCAGCTATATCTGAAGCCTCCTTGGTGAGTTCTGTAAAGAACATCTGATCACACACTGGACAAGAAGATATCACAAGTCAGGATACCAGTAGCACAAGCAGTAGACTTGGTAGAAAAAAAATACGAAAACAGTAAGCGTAATATCAACCAAGTCAAAGAAAAGATTATTGTTCTGGCTGTAAAAGTAAATCACCAGTACTAGAACCTATAATACTTCACAGCTATCAAATGGAGCTGACAAACAGGGAACCAAATATTCTACAAAGTGAAATTAGATTCTCCCTTTCACAGAAAGGAAGAATGGCAGAAAACAAGTGCACCAGATTGCACAAATGGAAATTAGACCATCCTAATCTTTGATAAAAGGGAAGATTGACTATTCGTATCCTTTGGGTGCTTCTAATTTGCAGAGTATAGCACATAGTGAGCTTAAACATCTTTTGGCGTATACAAAATACTTTTATTATTATTATCAGAAGATATGACTGCCCTAAATTTTTCTGAGTTCTACATCAAATTTACATCCTGGACAGGACTTCACACAAAAGAGAAAGATAATGGGTAGCCACTAGAGGCTGAGCATACATGTGCAAGAATTGCAGTCGCAAGCATCTGAAGAATCGTCGCTCCTGTCCTCCTGCTGGTCACCGTTGGTGCCATCTGCTTGCAATGAGCGATCAAGTCGGCATCGCTTCAATACCTTCTTGAGACGTTTGTACTCTACATGGGAGCATTTTGCAAGATATTTGTCCTGCTCTGCCCTGAGGTACTCCTCATATATTGAACCAAACTTCATCTTTCCCACCGAAAAGCCTGAAAAAATAGGCAGAGCCAAGCATCCGTTGAGGAAACTATGTTTGGAAAGTTAAAAGACTTGAAGCACAATGTAAAGCAACAGTAAATCAAGCACACCACTGTATACTCAATATGATTGTAATTGCAATCAGGGTTTTTGTTAACAGTCGGAATTTTTCGGTAACCAGAGTTAGTGTTACCGGATGAAAATTCCAGTTTTAAAAGAACTTTATGTTAACAAATGTGGTCAAACTCCATACTGAAATTCCAATAATGCATCGGACATTTAAACTTTTGCAATCCAGTAACATAAATCCCGGTTGCAATATCATCTCTGTAAACCAAGAAAGGATGTTTCAGATGTACTCTTTATATGCAGTAACCATTTAATATGAATATGGGTCTTGAATCAATTTAAATAAATTTTAGAAAACAGGCTTTCGCTTCGTTTACAGATAAAGCGACCACGCTCAGATTATTTTACCCAAACTATTTGCACAAACTAAGTAACCAATTTTATTTCAAAAACACACACACTAAGTAACCAATTTAAACAAGGAATCACACTCTCTTGAGGAATAACATACTTATAATCAAAAACAGACTTGCATGCCTTAACTGAGAGTCTGACAGATATTGAAATGTGCATTAAGAACATCCAAAAGACAGACAGAGACTTCTTCAAAGGAAAAAGAAACAGACCAACTGTGCACCATGTGGATTGGCTTACAATAAGACGAGAGCTGACTTTCAATCGAAAATGAAAATAACTGAACTCGTATCACACGAGCCAGAATAAGACATCATCACTATTTTATTCTGAAAGAACGCCGGTACCCATCTCCCCAAGATTCAAATATTATATACTCCCTCCGTTCCAAAATAGATGACTCAACTTTGTACTAACTTTAGTACAAAACTGAGTCATCTATTTTGGAACGGAGGGAGTATTAAGGTTAATAACCGGATAACAACAAGCTAAGACATTTGACTTTATTCGGAGGTTGAGTAGCTTAACCCACAGTTAACTTAAACCCCACCTCAGCGAGAAGAGAATCCGCAAAGTGGGACAGAATAATTCATCAATTGATGTTTATACTTTATTCCTCGGCATCGGCATTGCGAAGAATTAGTGTTTGAGACACAAGATAAGTCTGAAAAGCAATGGAAAGGTACAGAAAGAGGAGAACCATACGCAGCTTACGACATGGACTGGGCGAATCTATTCCTGAAAGAATCGAACCATGATAACGAGATGAAAAAACAGAAGAGACGCAATCGCACTTAAGTTGTTCTCATGGCCCCGCTGCGCAGACCATGGCCAGCGTTTCCGTACGGAGAGATATACCGGATTCGGGGGCGCAGAAATCCGAAGCCCTCAAGAAACGATTCTTGATTGCTCCTCGAAAAGAAATAATGATAGTACTTGGTTGGTAGAGAAGTAAACGCATGGGCATGCAAGGGGATCGTGATCGCTAGCTAGGGGCCTGGCCGCAATGGATGGATATGCACGACGACGGAGCGGAGCACGAGGGGGAGGCGCGCAGGCAGAGGAGGAGAGGTGGAGTCGCGCAGAGGCGCTTGCGGCGGCCTTTAATGGCGGGCGGCGGCGGCGAGGCGGCGGGCACGCGTCGCGTGGGCAGCGCGGAGTGGAGGCGGTCGGCTGGGGCTGGGCTACGGCAGGGGGGTGGGGGCTGTGCCGCGCTTGCTTTGGGGTTGGGAGACTCAAATCAAGTCGCACTCCGCCTTTCCCTCTCTCGTCCCGCTGTCGGTTCCGCGTCGGGCTTTCCCGTCCGTCCCGTTTTCCCACCTGGCCGGAGGAGGAGGAGGATTTCGCTCGGTTACGTGTGTGTTGCTTGGATTGGACTGGACCGGCGGCCGTTCCGTTCCGTTACTACTTTCTCTTCACGTGCACGGCAGCGTGGCGGCCGGCCGACGGCCTCCGGTCCGGTGGCTGTCATCCATCCATCCATCGACCGAGATCTGAGTGAGTAGGACGTACGTAGTTTAGTGCATGCGCGATCTTTTTCTTTGGATTTATCTATCTACTATATCGTGCCTGCAACGGCTGTAGTAGCTAGCTAGCTGCCTATCTAGGGAGGCTTTTTAGCGCGGAGCACCTTGGACGGATTAGCCGCGCCCCGGGCCCACCCCGTCCGTCGCCGCCGTGAAAGGATTGGTTTGTTTGGACTCTGCTACTCGTAGTGGCGGCGAACCCAAACGTGGTCATCATCAGCGGCAGGAAAGATGAACGAAAGCAGCTCACGTACACGCGTGCCGGTCGTTGCATCCTGATTCCTGCTTCCTATTCTCCACACTCCACTGGAAGTCTGCAACCGTACCACTACCTCCCCGCCGCGGATGTGAACATGTGATCACATATGTTGAGCCAGCTTTCGGCTGCGGCTCAGTTCAAGTCTTTTTTTTTTAAATATAAGACCTTTTAAAGATTCCACTATAAACTACATACAGATGTATATAGACATATTTTAGGGTGTAGATTCACTCGTTTTGCCCTAAAAGGTCTTATATTTAGAAACGGAAGGAGTACTACGTAGCGTCGCATGGAGATAATATGGCCTCGCTCATCGCTGGAATTGGGAAAGGCCACAAATGCTAGGAATAAGTGTGGACATGTGTTCTAAAAGAGTTACACTCGCCCGGGAATTTCCTATATATCCAGGAATGCATATCCGATTTGTCAGTCATATCCCGATGGGATCACTTATATGTGATTTGGTAAAAAAGAAGTCCTCTTCAAGAAATATCAGTGGTTCTACGAAAGGAAAATGAGTGAATCCAAAAATCTGAGCCATTTAGCCGAGTATATCCAACACCTCACGTTGCTCCAATGATGTACTCTCTTTTTTCCAGTTTATAGGACTCAAAACTAAAATCTCATCAACAAGGCACACGGTGAACCGTGAGCGAAGGAATGTATCTCGTACTACTTACAAAACTACTCAAAGTAAACTGATGCATTAATTTGGATTAATTGCAGTGCATGCATGCTTGACCACTACTCCCTCCGTTCCTAGATTTTTGTCTTTTTATAGATTTCAAGTGGACTATCACATATTGATGTATATAGACATGTTTTAGAATGTAGATTCACTCATTTTGCTTCATATGTAGTCACTTGTTTCAATCTCTAGAAAGACAAATATTTTGAAACGTAGGGAGTAGATGAGTAGGAACATCACATGCATTGACCAGATCCTTTTTAATTGTTGCATGCAAAGATTTAATGAGCCCTTTAAATCGAAAAAACAAAAAAAAAATTAGATGAACCCTCTAAACCGAAAAGGAGGAAGTATCCATCACATCATTAATAATTTAAAAACATGCTAATTACATTAGTTTTAATTTGAAAATGACATCAATTACATCAAGCAGAATTAATCTTGTGATCAACACTAATTGCGGCTAATCTTGGAAATAATATTACTACAATCAAATGAGCGCTGACTATATGAATACAAAATTGAGTATTGCAAGTATCAAAGCAAGCAGATGGTGAATACTCATTCCTCCCAGAATCAAATATTTTATGTTATCTGGATACTAAGAACTTCTTACTAAGAAGCCAAGTCATTGACTTCTCAGAGGTTAAATGGCTAACCAGCGATTTTTTTTAATAAAAAAAGCACCGCAAAGAAACTAATCCGCAGCGGGGTTTCGTTCATCCCCCATCTCGGCATTGCAGTGAAATGCAGTGGCCTGAAACACGACGGAGGACCGCAAAGCAACAACTACAGTCTACTACAGTACTAGTGGTACAGGAGACAACGAAACAGTATTATTAAGCGAATATATCCCTCCAAGAATCGAACAAACGAGGTTAAGAAACATGCGGCTGCACTATAATTTGTCGTCGTCTGGAGAGATACTGTACTGGATTTGAGAAAGCAAATTACTATGAGACCTTATTTCAATTGAAAAAAAGAAGGGGTGATTTCTCCTAGAGCCCACGTACGCCGCAACGCAATCTATGGATAGATAGATGAGTTGATAAACACCGACCAAAGAAGAAGAGGAGCAAACGATGAAGCGGCGCAGATATGCGGCCAGAACCCCGCAACCAACCATGGCGGCCATGGAGCGGTGGCAGGAATGAATGCATACGTACGTAGTACGTACCTGCGACTGCGACGGGAGGCAATCAAGGCGCGAGAGAGATCGACGTCGGAGGCGGTGGTCGTCCGTGATGAGTCCGTGAGGAGGAAAGGGTAGAAGAGGAGGTAGCGGAGCGGAAAGGAGATGCCGCCACCGCTACTCGGCTTTTAATGGCCGACGGGCGGCGGCGGCGGGAGGTAGAGGCGCTCGGGGGACGGGGGCACGGACGAAACCAAACTTTTGCTCCTCTCCTCTCCTCTGTATTTTTCTCGCTCCGGTGGACTGGACTGCCCGCTCCGTTCCGGGTTGAGTTTGTAGCTGCCTGGAGGGGCCCAGCCGGGTCACGTTAATTACATTGCTTGCTTGGCTTCGCTCGCTCGCTTGCTTCGCCGTTCCATTCACGCACGCGCGAAAAATGTTGACGTCCCGATCCGACGGCTGTCCTGTCATCTACTGATCAGGATCCGACGTCTGGCTGTCTTTCTTCTTCTTCACCAGAAAGGTCATCGATGTCTACACGAGCTAAGGAGAATGGGATTGCTTCGGATAACATTTCCGTTTCTTTTTTTAGCTAGCTAGGGCGGCGGCTGAGCCGGCATATCATCTTGAGATTTACGAAGTCACCGAAGGCGCCTCGTCGTCGACGGGAACGTCTCCTCCCACTGAAAGCGCATCGCCGGAAATCCTGAAATAAATCCAGGAATAATGCGAGCACCAGGATTTGAACCCTGGTGGGTTGGGGATACCACTGTTCACCTAACCAACTCAACCATAGGTTGATTCGCGCTGCCGCTTTAGGATGATGGTCATCATTAGTGGCCAACAAAATCATGATTACCGCACCGCAGTAGGAGCAACGGGCGGATGGAGTGGAATTGGAACGGCTTCCCTACCACAAAGACAGACGTGGTGAAAAGACGTGGGCTGTCCACTCGCACCAGTCCATGCACATGTGCCACAACGGCTCCTCCTTCTCGCGATCAACTTCCCTCCCTGGCTTACATTTGCTCATTGCTCACGTTTTTTTTCGGTCGGAAAGCCGAAGGTCATATGTTAGATAAAATAAGCCTTTATAAGAACGTTCTTATGAGATGAAAAGTTACAGGCAAGTCCTTGAGAAAAAGAAAACAGAGCCATCCTCATCTCATGGTCTATATGGAATGAGAGAAACACATGCGTTTTCCGCAACAAAGGAGCCCCACCGTCAATCTTACCAACATCAAGAAGGAGGCCTTGCTTTGGGTGGCCATGGGAGCAAAGAAACTAGCGACGATCATAAGAGTAATTCCTTTGTTGTAATGAGGGGTGTTTTTGTGAAGTAACCAAGCTATTTCTCTCTCTTAATTAATATACGAGGCAAACATTTTGCCTCTGTTAAAAAACGTTAATATGTTGAATAAAATCACAGACTAACGTACTTAAATATTTATTATCTTGTTGCAACATAATAGCAATCATATAGTAGTTCATAGCTAAAGAGCAGTTCCAACCATCTATTCATCTTCCTCCTAATATCTATTTCGGAGGTTTCGAGAAGAAGAAAAATACTCCAACTCTCACCCATCCATCCCTCATTTAAAGGACCCCACTCAACCTTATCCCCCTCCCTTCTAGACCCAGTGTAGGGAGGGGGGATCTCCCCATTCACCCCCCAAAACAAAAATGTTTGAATTTTTCTTCCCCGCCATGATGTGAACTTCCCGTTGCTGCCCTTGACCGACAAATTCCGACAGTTGAGCTCCCGCTCGTCTGCCACCAGCCCGTCCCCCATCTGTTGCGTCTCATTTCTTGCATGGCCTGCCACGACCTGTACAACAGCATGGGACGACGGGGAAACCTTCATGGACCATCTTACCCTACTCCGCTAGTCCCAACGTTCTCCTTTCATGTCTCTGGCGTTCTACTCGAAGTTGCCCTTGTCTCCTTCATCTCTGTTGCCCCCTCCCCACACGTCTCTGACACCCTCACCTCCCTCTCCTCCTCATATCAGGGATTCCCACGTCTTTCTCCTTCATGCGAGGTCGCCACCAACTCTCCTTTTTGTTTTTTTACTGGAAAAAGAAGAAATAATAACAAAGAGAGCACTTGAAGGATGGGCCGAGCTGGTACCTAAAAATGAGACCCTCCCCCCCTACACACACATAACATGGAGCCCCTCAAAACCCTCATAATGGTGTTTTCTTATATGCACTCATAATGGTGTTTACAGAGTAGAGAAAAATGGAGGCTACAACAGGAGTTGCTCTATGCAAAGTACTCACAACCGACCGTCTCACAGACCAGGAGAGTGTGACCTATGGCACTATTTGTTGGGGAACGTAGTAATAATTCAACAAAATTC